TAGCCTGTGTTTGTCTATGTATCCTGTTAGTGTCCACATTCCTAGATTGGCTGTGGTTGAATCAGTTAATGATTTTTGGTCTAGACCTTAAATGAATCTGGCAAAGTGCCGGTACGTATGCTCTACCTGAAAAGCATCTTTACCGAGTATGCCACTTAGCAGCTCTCGCGCATAGAAGATAGAATAGAGAGAACCATTCGGTGCCGGATTTAAACATACACAATTAGGATGGAGATCATAACAATTTAATCCTACGTATACGTACTTGAGTGAGCTTACTGAGCGTATTGAATTTTGGCAGCATCGCACTATCATATTTGTACCTGTAAGTTTAGTGTTTAGTATGGCCCCCCCATATGTTACCCTATCTGATGTTTCAATAGGAACACTACCCAGACGAAAATTAAAGGGATGATGTTGGAAATTCAATCTACTGAATTTAACGGTTTGGCTTTATATTGTAAGTTTTGATATTAATCTTGTGTATTTTCCATTTTGAGTGCTTGTTGGCTAGAAAAGCAATTCCACCGGATTGTTATATAGTTTATATTATTTTCAGAATTAGCTCAATGGATTACAATACATCAAAACAATCCTTACGAGTTTTGTGAAGCCAATGTTCTTGTGTAGCTAATACATCTATATCATTAGGGGTTGGCGCACAGATCTGTCTGTGCTGTAAAGCATCCCACGTACATACCAGGTAAGAAAGTTGAGAGCCATCAGGAATAGCAATGTACACGCGTACACGATGACGAAAGCGGCCGTAAAATGATTTCATACCATCACGATACACTGTATACCGCTGACCAGGGCCCCGTTCCACAAAGCCATCTTAGCGCTAAGGTGATCGTAGTTCCCATACTTTAGCACTGACTTACGATAGTTGTAGAGCTAAGATCGCTTTGTGGAACGGTGTTCAGGTCGAGACTCATGACAACAGTAGAGCTTATCGCCGTGTTGAAGCATAACATTGGAGACTGGGCCAATCATGCGTCTTTGTGTTTAGGTGTAATACTTTTTTTGAACACGGGTGTCCATGCCGTCTATGTTTCTACGTTTGTCAGGACCATACCCGTGCTCGTGGTTTCACCAAAGTGGAAAAGGCCTGCGATTTGCATCACTGAGATCTGCAATATGAATCACTACCGAGTGTTTAGTTGTGTATATTTCGTGAAATAAATTAGTTTAAAATCAAAATAGATTACCACGGTGCCTTCTCTGGACATACTTCCAGGAATTTCTATACAGCATGGCCAAGCGATAAATGTACAATTTTTATAAAACATGATAATTTTACATATTACTATTAGTTAAATGAAAAATGCCAAGTACAATGTAAAAAAAAAAATTGATCACATTTGGAGTTAAGTCTACGTCGATAAAATCATCATTTTCGAATATGGAAACCAAAAAAAGGCTAAGGTCTGGTGAGATGTATCCACTGTAATCTTCGGAGATATCTTCTTCGGCTGAAGTATGACTTAGAAGGAAATTGCATTCTCCTAGCGGAAGAGAGGTATAATCAAGGGCGTTAAGTTCTGCTGGGAGGCGTTTTTAAGGGTTGCGATTTCATCTATTTGGGCGGTGTCCATCATGGATCCAGATGCAACAGCGGGTGCAAAATTAGACACCATCCTCAATCAACGTCTATCCAAACAGCCGCTGGAGTCTTATTTTGGATGCAATGAATTTATATCAGGCTTCATCCACTTACTTGTTTACGTTCAGGATAGATATATGACTGTACTACATGTATATGCTTTATGGTCTGTGTTATATATTTGTTCTGTGTGTTTCAGGTGAATTGATGGCATGGAGAGCAGTTGGTCTTTTCTCGGGGAGTTTTTTGGTGTGTTGTCCAATGTCCTTCCTGCTCATATATATTGATAGCATTGGGATATGATGGTCTTTGACGAATGAGTTGTTGCATACGTTCATACCATTGCCTGTAGATCGGTTGCAATATTTAGTATATACTTTCATTGGACCCGTGAAGTTCCGGGTTAGAATAGGTCTTCAGCAACCCATGCTTGCCGTAAAAAGGCGACTATACTTGTCGTAAGAGGCGACTAACCGGATCGGTTGGTCAGGCTCGCTGACTGGTTGATGCATGTCATCGATCCCAATTTCGTGGATCGATGCTCATGATGTCAATCACTGGATTGTCTGGTCCAAACTCGCTTATGTACAGACCGCCGTCATATGCATGTAGCTGGAATATTGGTGAGTGCGGCGTTAAACAACATTGGGGGAATAACTGGTTTGTTGAATATCTGCAGATTGCTTTGGCTAAGTAGCCTTAACCAAACATTGTTGGATAGAACAAATATATATATTTATCATATAATGCGTAGGTTTCTCGGCAGGATAAAGCCAACGGATAAAGACGGTATCCGTTGGGGCATATGCGGATAGAGATGCAGATATCAAAGGCCAAGTAGGGACTACTTTCAATGCTTTACAAACATACTTGGCGTCGTCTTTGTCATTCGGCGTTTGAGTCAGAATTAACCATCGGGAATCTGGAGAAACTACTGGGATAATTCCTATCATTATCAATACAATAGTGTAACTGTCTCGCCTAGGCTCGCTAAATACAATGTTTATTCCTAATACAGGGTATTTACCATCACCAAACACATTCGCGTGATAACCTCTACATATATTTCATCAGGGACGAAGTGCCATTTCTTTATGTCTGTTTAAATGCTTTTCTGAGACTTTAAACCCCTTCAGTACATATAATGTTGTATACGTTGAGAGAACACGGTTCAAGAGCTTTTCCTCAAATGTTTTTTATCTCTGATTTTACGTGCCGTGAGCTACTTTCTGATCGTTTTAATACGTTCATCCTTATCAATTTTGGCATGACATTGTCTCTTTTTCGTAGAGTGTATCGTGGGGGTTTCACCGAAGTGGTAAACGTCTGAGACCTGCATCACTTCGGGCTTTCCTCCCACATTAAGCTGGCACGCCGTGATATAACTGGAATACTGTTAAAAGCGGCGTTGAACCCAACTCACTCACTCACTCACTCATTCACTCACTCGTAGAGTGTACTATCTCTGTTTGTGCTTTCTGATGTGTTGGTATTGTCTCATGTTGGGCATCTTAATAAGAATGTCCGTGTACCTCACAATTGGTCCAATTGCATTGGGTATATGTTGTTGATTATTTGACGATTTGGGTATTCTTGGAGAAGCTCAAAGTGGATTTAGGGGCGGTCGGGTAGCCTAGTGGTTAAAGCGTTCGCTCGTCACGCTGAAGACCCGGGTTCGATTCCCGACATGGGTACAATGTGTGAAGCCCATTTCTGGTGTCCCCCGCCGTGATATTGCTGGAATATTGCTAAAAGCGGCGTAAAACCATACTCACTCACTCAAACTGGATTTAGTAGTTATTGTATTGCAGAGAAATGTTTAAACCGCTTTTAATATAATGTATTTGTTTTAGATATTTAGATCAAATATAACACACTAATATACTATTTTATTGTTCATAATTGCCCTCCTCCATACAACAAGGTATTTTATGAGCCAATCATATCACACAACATTTGATTTCAATGACTTAATGTTCTTTTACGGCAAACTATGATTTTTGAGCATTACATATATTAATTAAAATCTATAATAACAAATATAGTTAAACATGTACACATACAGACGCAGAGATACACGTTTGTGCATGGTAGAGTTTGTATTTAATTTCTTGCATATTTAAAAATGTTGAAGTCGAAGAAGGCATAACATCCACAAAGGGACCTGGGCAGAAAGATAAGTTGTTTTCGTGTATATCGATTGTATTGTTATCCTAGGATTGTTTCTAAAAGTGTCTCTAGTTGGTAGACTTTAGATTATGCCCATGCGGTTGTCAAACAATTAGGATAATATTAAACATAGCGGTTGGGTAAGCTAGTGGTCAAAACGTTCGCTCTTCACGCCGGAGTCGCGGGTTCGAATTCCACTAGTGGTACAACGTATGAAGCCCATTTCTGAAGCCATTTCCCCCGACGATATATATTGCTAAAAGCGGTGTAAAATCATACTGACCAATTTCTCATGGGATGTGACAGCAAGAGTATAATTATGGGTGTTAATTCCAACCGACTCGTTCCAAAGTAATACCTTTGTAGACACCATCAATATTCCCAATCTCCTAGTTTAACGGAACACGATGCCATCGATGTTTACGTCCACAGACCTAAATTGGCGTTGCTACATCAACTCCATCCCAGAGAGCTGTCTCCATGAGATGTTTTTGGATTTCTGGCCTATCACTTGATTGTCTGGTTTGATCACATGCCGCCGTTTCATGGCACGAATACTGCTGTGCGGTGTCAGGCAAGGTGACTTGATGAACACTACTCTCTGCATGATTACAACATAATTGAATAAGTTAATAGAACATGATAGAACACACATATTATTCATCGAGGTGACATAAATTGCATTTCTTTTCAAACACACATTTTGTAGTGAGTGAGTGAGTTGGGTTTAACGCCGCTTTTAACAGTGTTCCAGTTATATCACGGCGTGTCAGCTTAATGTTGGAGGAAAGCCCGAAGTGATGTAGGTCTTAGACTTTTACCACTTCGGTGAAACCCACGAGCACGAGTATGGTGCTGACAAACCTAGAAAAATAATCGCGGCGAACCGGGATTCGAACCCACAATTATAGGTTTCTGGCGTGCCCAAGGGACGCAACTCTGCACAGCGAATCGCGGCCCTTTAGACGACTGGGCCACCCGTGCCCCCACATATTTTGTGTAAGTGACGGGTGCTATCGTTAGGCGTGGCATGGTTACCTTTTCCAGGAACACGGTGTCATCACTGTTTTCTAGTGATCCAGTTATGTCATTTTCACCGCTATTTTGTCTTATACGCTCTATGGTATCTGTTGAGTTGGAGAACCGAGACTGATCAGTCTCAAGCATTGCCTTTTCTATATATTGTGTCGAACACCTGGGTTAAATGTCGAGAACTGAAAACAACCGATCACATTGCAATGATTTATTGATTCATAGTAGTATGTTGCACATGTGCAGTGAACGTTATTATACTGCCAGGGAAACCACACACTTGTATAGAGCAATAACAGAACAACGATACAACAACTTAACATACAAAACAACAATAACACAATATACAAATGAATGTACATAACATATCAGATTTAAAACAGATGATGTCCGGATGATGTGATGAATACTTCAGTGAAAATATGTGTCCAACATTAAGCACGGTGCATTACTCTATGTGTCAACAATCACATCCATGGCAGCGTAGTGGAGTGTGAATGAGTGAGTATGGTATGACGCCGCTTTTAGCAATATTGCAGCAATGTGGTGGTGGGTGGGGTTCATGAAGTGGGGGCGGGCTCCACTAGCAATGGACGTCAGCAAGCTACTGGAATATGTGATGAAGAACAACAGGAATCAAAAACATGTGTTAATAAACGTAGAATATAAACAGAATTAAATTCAGGAGAACTGTGTAAAGGCTTGTAATAGAAAAATATATGTTTTTTTTTATTGGGCAACACAATACAACATATATAGTGGAATGCTGAGACGTATACACCAGGAAAAAAGTTAAGCACCGTTTTCTACATATTTCCATATTAAATAGCATTGTTTTAAAATTGTACCCTATGCTAATTAATTCTCTGACGAAACGTTTGATACATTTGTGTTTGTTTACAAAGTAATATACTAATAATGGAATACAGACAATGAAATAAAAAATTAATGACACGCCTTGCATGGTTATTTAACTACACTTTTAACTACATTAGTCCTAGCATCATAAACTGCTATGCATTAGAAAGTATACACCCATGCTTGATGGTGACTAATATTGTAAAAAACAAGGCATGGTTCTTTGCTGGTGATGTATTTGACACGGGTATCTTAGTTGTGTTTTGAACCTTAAGTTTGCAGTATTTCGGCGACTGTTTTCATCTGAGTAACGTTTGTTATTGTTTGGTGAAATCCAATATTCAAGTGTATACTTTTTTCCTGGCAGTTTATGACTGAGTACTTCCAAACATATGAATAAGCATACATTGTTCCTTGTATAAAACATCAGCAGTTATCGGTAGTATCCGAGTCATTTCTGAAAATGAGATCAATGTCAAAACAGTTTATGGATATTTAAAACAAACAAGGAAGATCGGTATGTAGAAAATATAGGAGCAGTGCTTTACTTTTTTCCAGGTGTATAAAAGTACGACCTCGGGTTACATTATGACCGTTTCATTGTGTTCAGTCTTCTTTAAATGGGTCCTGCTACTGTGTGTTATTCTGTATCATTGAAAGTAATATCTACTTAACACATGTCAGGAGGAACTCGTCAAATATTCGGAAGACTAGAACGTCTTGTTCAAGGGTAGACAATGCACCAAAACTAAAAACATACAGAGCTTAATATCAAGTGTAACGAGATACAAGTTGTTTTTAACTTTAGTGTCAGCTCTCCCTCTAGTGCGACTCCTATCCCAGCCATATGTCCTTAGGGACCCACCATTTCGTATTCATTATGGGTCTATATATCACTTCTTCAAAACGCGCAAAGAAGCCGAACAATTATTTTTCAGAACACATTTTTCTCAGGATTTCAAGCATGTCCAGCATTATTCATTAATTATTGCAAAACATGATAAAACAATATGTTTTTTCTTTTCTTTTCTTGAACCAATGATTCTTATGAAAACAACCACAGAAGCTTAAATACCCTGAATTTTAACTTTTTTGCCAGAGCTATCATTCCAAGTGCATACGTCTATTTCCCCTGTCTTTAGATCGCCTGAGCCTTAATTTCAGTGGGATTCTTTTTTCCACACCTATCTGTTCTTCCATCCCCTGTACCTAACTTCGGTGTCAATCCTACAACATCATTTCACGACAACTATCTCATCAACCTGTCCTTACATCCCTGACCTTGAGCATTAGCTAGGCCGACAATACCTCGTGTGTCCACCTACTCATAATTCTGTCCTTTTAACCCTGGACCTATACATGGCAAGCCAACAACATTTGCTTAACGCACCTATCGCATCTATCTATATTTGAAATCCATAAACTTAACTTTCAGTTTTCATCCTGGAGGAAGATAATCCCTTTCCCAGCTGTCTCAATAAGTTGGCCTATATGACCTTTAGTTCAACAGCATCAAGTGTTGTACGTCCCTAGTAGGTGCTTAAACACATTGATTTAATATCATCGCTGACACCCACATGACATGAAATAGGTGAACTGGACGACGAACTTGCATGTGGTTCATCGCTTTACATGGCAACTTGTGGACATACCAATATTTTATATGATAACGTATGGACAAACTTAGATATATAGGACGCCGCCGAAGTAATCTAATATTACTCAAGCGAGTGAAATGTCAGGATTATCATAAACAGTATGAGTACCAAAATACTGTGTTCTATTCAATGACATTAAGCAACACTAAATTAAGGATTTTTTCTCCTTCATCGTTCATCCAAATTGATGCTTTTGGTCATGCACATGTTAGCATAGTTAATATTTAAAGTACCTACCTTGTCATACAATTCTTAGGTATAAAAGCATATGCTTATTATAACAAAAACAAACTGAAGAACAAATACTAAATTCAATGTTCGCAAACATCATAATTTATAAACGAGCGTCATCTTAATTGGCTGACGGGAAATATCCGATGGCGTCACCACAGCTTAAGTCTGGCTTAATGATGCCATAAGTACAATGGTTAAACAATAAGGAAGTGTCCCTTTGCACAGCAACATTTTTGGTACTCTCAACTTAACAATAGCACATCTGATTCATACGACTTTAACCCAGATATCCCGTCACTCGTATTTTACTTTTATTTTACACCGGTAACAGTTTCTGGTGGAAAAGATACGAAATAATTTGATTTATAAGCTATCACAGTCACTCTGCATGGAATATGTTGTTTTATATGTCGTTTTTTATTCCTAAAAAAAGGCTTACTTTAACATGCAACGTTATTAGTAAGGGCAAATCTTAAACGTATTTACTATATATATTCAAGCTTAAATTTGTTTCATCATGTACGACCTTATATCATGTCCGCCCTTAGTACAGCTTATTTTCAATTATTGATAAACTTATACCATAATCCCTAGTCTGGCCCTCTGACATGGATGACATACATGTTCGGTAATTAGAAAGAAACATGCCCTGAACAAAAAAATAGCTTAGGGAACATGAATATTTTTGGGGAAATAATTTGAATTATTGTAGTAGAGACTGTGAACGCAATTTCAATAACAATCCCCATATATATACAATCACAATGCCTTACTTCTTTGTTCAGTATATATACTAGTTTTTTTCACTTGCAAGAGAGCACCGAAGACATAAACATTTAGTTACCAGTATGCCAAGTACTGTCTGGATCCAGTTCATGGTGTTTCAACAAAATATCTTAATACATGGAATAATTGGCATCTCTTAATTGTATATATTCAGCGAACTATTGCGTTTCCGAACGACATACCAGTCCAGATAAACACACATCTTGCACCGATAAGGGTTCATAATAATCCAATAATGGACATGGTCTCCTTCATCACGTTCCAGCAAGTGTTGTTATGCCAAGTCTCTTGCCTTTAAAAAACAATCATAAAAACAAACATTGAACAGGCACTTGAATCCGTCGGATGTAATCATTCATTATAGTAAAATATTGTCAGGTATACATTACTTTAAGGGATTATAGATGATAACAACGAGCCAGTAAGTGGATGTACCGGAACACCAATGTCGTACCAGCATAACTAGTCTGACACAACACTTAATATAATACGTGATTATATTAATATTTACAAACTAATTAAATTAGTAAATAATTTTAACTTTGTACATTATGAAAATGGGCATTAGCATAATATGTATGTGACTAGAATTTAGAAAACAGAGATATCTTTTAATTCAACGACGAGGTATATGTTAATTAATTTATGCATATCCCAAAACGGTGATATTCACTGGACGAAGACGATCCACTGTTATATTTTGGGGATAAGAATGTGCTTTTTTTGCTTATTCTTTGCTGCTAATATAAGATATTTATATGCTACAAAGCGTCATTGTAGACTATGATACAGATGTTCTAGTTGTTAGAACGTCTAAAATGTTTGAAGGATGTTAATGTGTGATGCCGATTCAGATGAGTTATATCGATCGTTAGAACGTGTCATCGGTCATAGATGTATACACAGAGCGAGATTGCTGCTGACAGACAAAGGATCATAGTAAGCACGAACCTCAAACTGTGGCAGCTGGAAGCTAAGGGGAACAACTCTGCACGATTAGTGGCAATGTCCCGGCTCAACAATTTTGTAATGTGAATATCATGCAATTTTACTGATACAACATTGGGTGGGGCGTTGTGGTCAATATGTCAGATAGTCACATGTCACACATTAATAAGGTTGTTCTTGAGAACAAACCAAGTTAAAACGGCACCATTGAATCAGTGAGCAAATGTTCCGAGAAGTGCAATGAAGATATAAACCATAAATCCACAAATTTACAAACTGTGCTTAAACGTGAAAGGGTTGTAAAAGTTACATTGACTGATACGATGGTTAATTCCATAGGTAACACTTCATTAATGATGCCAATAAACACATGCTTCAATTGGTATCTCTGCCTTGCCACCTTCTACCACTTGAAAGGGTAAACTTCCTATGACTGAAGAGTCGACTGATGTTCCATCAGCAATACGTATTTCGTTATGCAAATGCTTGAGTTGGTACCTCTGCCTATCCACCTTCTACCACTTGAAAGGGTAAACTTCATATGACTGAAGAGTCGACTGATGATCCATCAGCAAAACGTATATCGTTACGCCAATAAACACATGCTTCAGTTGGTATCTCTGCTTGGCCCCTTTCTTGCTCCTGAAAGGGCTGTTAACAATACAATGACTGAAGATACGATGGATGAGCCTATAAACACTTGCTTCATTTGGTTCTCTGCCTCGCCGTTTTCTTACACTGGTAAAGGTTGTACAACTTAAAATGACTGAAGAATAAAAGGATGATCCAAAAGCAATAATGCATTCCTCATGCCAATAAACACTTGCTTCAGTTCGACAAGTATCTCAAGATACGCTGAATAGCCATTCCTTAGGTAACTGTCATTGCTATCATGGAGTATTTGTAATTTACAAAAATAGAGTTTCAAAGCAAAAATAGCTATTTCTCTGCGATTACTTCTGCTGAGAGGGTTTCACCCTCAATTTCAGCACCGCGTATGCGATGAGGAGTATAAGGAGTTCCAATACACAGAATCCCATCAGGCCATAGCAAGCAAATATTTGATACACAGAAAACATGTAGACCGTCTCGTTGCACCAGTTCATGGGCTCGTGTAAGGGCTGGACGAAGTTAGGTTTCCACACCTGGAAGATCCACACGTTGCCAAGAATGAACCACGAGAGCAGGAATATGGTTAGAATATATCCGCTGAAGCGCGTGCTACGTGACATCACAATATCGTCGGCGTCATCATCAACACAGTCGTCAAGACGCTCGTAGTCACGTGACTTCTTCTGTCTCCATAGCAACAGCAACATCTTGAGGAGACCGAATCCTCCTCCGACCAGAAGGTAGATGGGGACCTTGGGTTCCCGGGGACAGTCTACTCTATGAGAACCACCTGCAGCAGAGAAAGGTCTTGATGGAAATACGTTCATTTGTTCTTCATATGCTCCATATAACATACATAGCTGGGTATTATGCCTCAAAGTGAGATTGACCAATCAGAGAGCAGAGCTACTGACCCCACATGAGCCCGTATAGCGTCAGTTAAAATCCAAGATGGTTGTTACTGACCTGATATGAGACCGTATACCGTCAGTAACAGCCATTTTGAATTTTCCAACACCCACCTCACATATTTCACAGGGAAATTCGGGTACAGAAATTCGTTATTCGACACTGTTTTGTGTTTTAATATCTTTAATTGTGATGAGCAAGTAAATAATTTATAAAAGAAACCACGTTCGTGACTTTGTTTATAAAAAATATGGAGAAAAAAAGCTTACAACGGAGTTACAAATAGCAACGCCATAGAACATACTGTAGGATGACGTCACAAACAAGAAACGTGACGCCAATGACGTCACATAGCAATAGAATAGATAGCAGTCCGTCGTTGGGGGAAAGCTGACTGCTATCAAGTTACAGTGGCCCGAAGATTTCTGTTAACATGCGGGCATTTTTATGATAATTCTATCTATTTTAGCCATAGTACTTTAAACGTTCACATTCAGTGCAATATATATTCCATTGTTAACGTTTATCTTTACATTAGAGCGTTGTATCGGAAACATATGTACTGGTCCTGTCGTTTATACCGGTTGTAAGTGTCAAGTTTTCATTTTGACATGACAGGTGCGACAAAGATACCAAATAGTGTAAACCTTTCGGCATAATAAATTCGTTATGGTGTCTTTAGTTGCCGTATACGGTGTCATATTAGGTTAGCAGGAAAATATTGAGCTCGGCTCACGCCTCGCCCAATATTCATTATATATATATATATATATATATATATATATATATATATATATATATATATATATATATATATATAGCTCACGCCTCGCCCAATATTCATTATATATATATATATATATATATATATATATATATATATATATATATATATATATATATAAACAAGTGATTTCATCGGGTGTATAAGTATCAAATATACAAAAAGCCCAGATATTCGTGCTTGTCAAAACTCCTTTTTCCACACAAGATCTTTCGCTATTCAACGGCTCTTCAGGTGTAATGAATGTGTAATATATATATATGCGCTACATCCGTGTTCTTGTCAAAAACATGTAACAGGGTATGTACTTTCAGGAACCAACCATTTAACTTTGTAGGGGTGGGGTGGGCCTGGAATTCATTCAGGCAGTGTGAATATTTTAATGCAGATATGAATATAACACGAATTTAGCACGCGCATAAACGGCATTTGACTGTAACGACTGTGCAAACATGTGCATAATAACAATAACAATAGTATATTCTCTATATCGAAGTGAGTGGGTGAGTGTACGAGTATGGATTTACGCCGCGTTTAGCAATATTCCAGCACGTCGGGGGACACCAGAAATGAGCTTAACACATTGTACCCATGTCGGAAAACGAACCCTCGGCGTGACGAGCGAACGCTTTAACCACTAGGCTACCCGGCAGCCCCTCTATATCGAAGATTTACGAGTATATATACATGAAGCTAGTTATAATGTACCAATCACCCATAACGACCATATGGATGTCACAGTATAATGTGCATAAACACTCATGAAACATTGTATGTTCTATAACGACCATATACTCATATACCCTCTACGTATCTCTTATATACTCTTCTATAAGACCGCCTCCGGGGTTTAGTGGTAGAGCGTCCGCCCGGAGAGCGGAAGGTCCGGGGTTCGATCCCCGACCGCGTCATACCAAAAGACATTAAAAGATGGTACTTGTTGTTACACTGTCTGGCGCTCGGCATTAAGGGGATAAAACAAGGACTGGTCGGCTTGGAGTCAGTATACTGTGTCTGAGTGGGGTATTCATGTTAAACTGCGGCATGGTATCTCAGTTTGCTAGCACTATAAATCGGCATCAGTCCGGACTAGCACAAGCAGCCACACACACACACGTGCATGCACGTCGCTATATAAGTGCAATATTCCTGGACGCGACGTTAAACCCCATTTCACCTCACCTCACCTCTTCTATAATAAAGACACATGGATACATAGAGGATTCATCACGAGTGTTTTTTAATATGGGAAATATGAACCGAGTCTTAGTTAATCGGTATTTGCCGAGCCTTTGGCGAGGCAAATACCGATTAACGGGACGAGGTTGATATTTCCCATATTAAAAAACACGAGTGATGAATTCTATTTATCATTTTCACATTTTTGCTTCCCAATTAAGGAATAATTGCATTAAACATTAACATCAGCAACTTGTCGAAATCTTACGTATAGATCGTGCGTAGTGATACATGTTTTCCATAGCCGTGTAAACCAAAATAAACAACCTCTTAACTCCTTTATGACATATTCCTTCGCTGGGAAAAAAAGTTCCTCGGATTATTTTAAACAAAATACTTAAACAGACTTTTGCAGAATAATTGAAATAATGTCTCCAACATCAAAGGTATCTATTTTGTTTGTAAACACCTACTCACGTGCACAGGCGAAAAAGTCCCACTTCCGGTTATCTAATTTGCATATCTAATTTGCATACTTATGTCATTGGGGTATGACATACATGTTTTTATGTCATAAGCTTATGTCATGGATAAATGCTTTAGTTAAATGATACAATTCACTTCACTCACCAATGACAATCATGGCAATGGGCAGGCCAGTGAGCGACACCAAGAAGGTTGTCATCAACCCTGAAACAAACAGATTCTAGATTAATATATTTGCATATAATTGAGCATCACTCTAACAGAACGAATCACAAAACATCTAAGCACAAGAAGAGCAAATGCGTAATATCCAATTCAGCAACTTCAAAGAATCTCTTTTGCGTAAAGTATGCAACACAATAAAATGAAAACATATTGTACTTCGGCCAAGGCTCGCTAAATACAATGTTTATTCCTGATGCAGGATATTTACCATCCCCAAACACATTCGCGTGATAACCTATATATATTATAACAGTACATGCGTCGTAGATTTATACCGCGTTGTAAATTAATACAAAAATTGTCAAGATAAACATATGTATTAATCTATTTCAATTAACTATAATTATTATACCTTAATCAATGTACATTAAACATGTCGAAGCACATAGTAATAACAACATGTGTTGCTGATACAAAGATAGAGAAACATAACAAGTACTTGAATTCGCTGAATCAGCAATTCTAACGGTAGCCTATTATAGATGTCATATGCAGCATAATTCGATATGGTGCATGGCCGTCCTGTCAGCTGTTACCTGATCGTATAGCAAAACGTGACAAAATATATTTTTGAACTACACATTTGATCAATTGTAGTCGTTTGAAAAAAAAAAATTAATTACATTAACCTATATATTTTTTATTGCTTTCAGAACACGACTAACGACCGGGACACAGCACATAAATTATTATGATGCATATTGATTATCTCACATGTGATTGTCAGAACGCGAAGCAGATCAATAATAGTATCACTGGGTCAGATGCACCTTAACTACAAGGTAAAAATAAGGATTATTTCATGATTCATATTTAACAATTGTAAAACACCTTTCTCACCATTTCTTTCCATCACAGTCATGTATTTGTAAACAGTGTGTGTAATATGATATGTATACACACGTGTATAACACAATTAATAATAATAAATCCCATAAAACAACTTACATTCAGGGTTAATTGATGCAGATATATCTGTTTTTGATGTTTCATATAACACTTGAATAAAGGTTTGGGGTTTTCACTGGGTTTTCTTATTAAAGACAGATTGTTGTACGGAGAGCATTTTGAGGTTTGCTTTTAAGACAAGTTGTTGTATGAAGGGCATTTGGGGGTTTGCTATAAAGACAAGTTGTATGAAGGGCATTTGGGGGTTTGCTATAAAGACAAGTCGTTGTATGAAGGGCATTTCGGGGTTTGCTATAAGGACAAGTTGTTGTATGAAGGGCATTTGGGGGTTTGATATGAAGACTAGTTGTATGAAGGGCATTTCGGGGTTTGCTATAAAGACAAGTTGTTGTATGAAGGGCATTTGGGGGTTTGCTTTAAAGACAAGTTGTTGTATGAAGGGCATTTGGGAGTTTGCTATAAAGACAAGTTGTTGTATGAAGGGCATTTCGGGGTTTGCTATAAAGACAAGTTGTTGTATGAAGGGCATTTCGGGGTTTGCAATAAAGATTTGTTGTTGTATGAAGGGCATTTGGGGGTTTGCTATAAAGACAAGTTGTTGTATGAAGGGCATTTCGGGGTTTGCTATAAAGACAGGTTGCTGTACGAAGAGGATTGGGGATTTGCAATAAAGATTTGTTGTTGTGCGAAGGGCATTTGCGGGAAGGCTATAAAGACAGGTTGCTCTACGTAGATAACTTGGGTTTTATCTATTAAGACAAATTGTTGTACGAAGAGCATTTTGGGTTTGCTGTAAAGTTGATGTATGAAGATTTTGTTTTGCTGTAAAGACCTGCCGTTGCGTGAAGGACAGGTAAATTGCATGATAACGGCATGTGGTTGCACAAAGTGCATTTTGGTTTTGCTATTGAGACACGTTGTATCAATATCACTGGGACCTTCCTGTAAGTACTTGTTTTGTCATTATTAAAAGTCATGGTATAACGGATTTAGTTTCACTATAATGTCAAACCGTTGGTTAATTGACATTGAGGTTTAATTGTTCTCAACCTCTTCAAGATGTTGGGTTTTTTGTGCTGGCGATTATGTGCCTCACTCTGGATGGGACACAACCTAAAAAGGTACGATAATCTGTACTTTACTACGAAAGTGTTATCGCAAATATATCCTTTGTTACATTTGACCACTTTCTGAAAGGCATTGTGTGGTCGTCAAAAATGATGTAGAAGCTCAGGGAAAACTGCGTTTGGTAATATACAAACTGGACGGAGTAAGATCATCTAGTTAAGTAGACATTTTAACGACATAATAGCGTGGTGATGTATGCCCTGTGTTTTCTGAGATTCGGCTTAAATAAATCAATATATCTCGTGCTACAGATTACATACGTTGGAACGAAATAGTGTACAATAGATCTGGATACTCTGAGTAAGAAATGTAACATTGAGTTAGATATGAAACCACAAAGTGGTTGTTTGTAAATGAATTTTCATTTTCGTTTATTTGTTGATATTGTTAGGTAGCACACATGGAGAAAGGGATATATCAAGATTAATCATTGTAATAAACACACTTGGCCTATCAAATAGCCACTGTACTTCGCCCCTTTAAGAAATAGAATTAATTAGGAGATAAACATAATGGTTGTATATTTAACTGGGCTAACTGAACTTGGAATCGATGGTGAATACTTGATATTGTAGTAACAGCAACTCTGCATTATCATCACAATCAGAGAGAGCCTAATCACAGTCAGCACATATACAGAGTCAAAAACAAACTATTTTTCCAAGCTCATATGAAGCGCAAATTGTTATCTATGAATGAATTATGAAGAACCCGTCCCTCTGTCTTCAGTAAAACAGAGATGAATGTTTTTCTAAGACACATCTGACGCTAATGGCAATGCTATTGATTTGTTTCCGACAAACACACAAAAAGATAATCAATATCATTCAAAATGATGTATATGTTGCGGTTAAATAAGACTTTACTGATAAAATATCATTTTTTGATGCACAATCACGGTCATTCGTGACTAGGGCAGACAGAAGATGTACTGGCATAAATAATAAATAAATAAATAATATATCCAACGAGCGTTTTGATTTCTTGGTTCACGGATTCTTGTGCGACAAAATCAGTGAACATAACACTTGATATTTCATTACAGTGAACATAATACTTTGACGGAATTATTGTCATACAAGAGTAACCTCCCCTAACATTGTCCCCCTTTATCATATGTGTCTGGCCCATGCACAAACTGTTCCCTTACTTTTCACGTTAGTTCCACATTGCCAAGGCAAAATAATGACCTCTGGTCATTTATGGAGTTAATATAGCTTCTTGCTGTTTGATATTCTCTTCAAATTGTTTCGTTATAAACCACAAATCTCTCATTTAACATTTTGTAATCTATTATCTTGCAGTTTAACTAATTCTAATTATCATATTGCAGTTTAACCTATTGTAATACAATATTATCTTGCAGCTTAAGCTACTGTGGTATATTACCTTACAGTTTAACCTCTTGTGATATATTATCTTGGAGTTTAACATACTGTCAATATTACATTGTTATGTATCTTGCAGCTTAAGGTATTGTAATACAGTATCTCGCAGTTAAGCTATTGTAATATATTATCTTGGAGTTTAAGTAATGGTAATATATCATCTTGCAGTTTAACATATTGTCAATATTACATTGTCATGTATCTTGCAGCTTAAGCTATTGTAATATAGTACCTCGCAGTTAGGCTATTGTAATAATTATCTTACAGTATATGTTATAGTAAGATATTATCTTGCAGTTTAACCTATTGTATGCAGAATACTGTCAACTTACATGAATTCCAGATAATGTCGAATGCCCGACCCAGGAACTCACAGGGGTCCTCACACTCCTCATTCACTTCTTGGAGCTGATGGAAGATGGAGCCATAGGAGCCACTGCCACCGTTACCGTACTGATCCCCGTCGGAGAAATCACTGGTGCTTCTACATAGACTCTTTTCGTCGTCGAGTGTCTGCAGATTTTAAAGAGAGAGTGAATGAGTGGGTTGGGCTTCACGCCGTTTTCATTCAAAATTTCAGGTATATTTCGGCTGTGCGAGTGTGTTTGTGTGTGTGCGCGTGTTTGTTTATTTGCTTGTTTAACGTCGCACTCAACAGTATTTCAGCTATATGACGGTAGCCTGTATATTATCGAGTCTGGACCTGACAACCCAGTGATTGATATTTTAGAAACTATCCACTCTTTCGGGCTACGTTGACACGCCATCAAGCATGTCTGATCACCTGATTCATTTCGTCGCCCCTTACGGTCAGCATAGGTTGCTCGGGACCCAGGATGACGATGGTCTTTGGATCCTGGCAAGACAGGTTCACAACTCTGCACATCGCATTGCGGCCACTCATACCTCTTCAAGAAGCGAAATACAATGCCAATTTGTGTATAAATAAATATATTCATAAAACTGGACCGAACATATTACGTTACAGATTTTCATCCTAATCAGGGGGCACGGGTGGCCCAGTCGTCTAAGGCGCCGCGATTCGCTGTTCAGAGTTGCGTCCATTATGTACGCCAGAAACCTATGATTGTTGGTTCGAATCCCGGTACGCTCCGATTATGTTTCTAGGTTTGTCAGCACCATACCCTTGCTCGTGGATGTCACCGAAGTGGTAAACGTCTGAGACCTGCATCACTTCGGGCTTTCCTCCCACGTTAAGCTGACACGCCGTGATATAACTGGAATACTGTTAAAAGCGGCGTTAAACCCGACTCACTCACTCATCCTAATCTGTCTCATGGGAACATACTTTTCGATCATTGCTGAGCCTCGTGCGTTCATAGCTTCCCAAAACTTGCTTTACTTCTATATATGCATCTTGTACTATTATCAGTTTACAAATACATGAGTGAGTGAGTGAGTTTGATTTTACGCCGCTTTTAGCAATATTCCAGCAATATCACGGCGGGGGACACCACAAATGGGCTTCACACATTGTACCCATGTCGGGAATCGAACCCGGGTCTTCGGCGTGACGAGCGAACGCTTTAACCACTAGGCTACCCGACCGCCCTACAAAAACATGAATTCAAGTCACTGATTCAATAATAATTTCCAACTGGTTCGTTGGTCTAGCTTTGTGTGAATTTGTCGCTTCAAATGTCTTGTGCGAGTGAGCGAGTGTGTGCAATATTCCATTTTCAACGTCCACTTTTTTTGTGTGAAAATGAAATAATGTGAGCAATGTTGTCTTTGAATATTGCTGATGGATCAACAAATTCAAAATATTGCACCCACAAAGGGAGACGAGCCCGGGTCTTGGGGGTATTCATGGGCGAACATGAAGACATGTCCATTTCTCTTTTGTACTGATTCCAAAACTCCATAAAATGCCGTACAAAGAGGGATCTTTTGCTGGGTCCAGCAAATGTACCACCAAATCCCTGTCTCAAAGATTGACATCAATGAAATCAAGAACTCTTTCAGGTACAATCAAACATGCTCTTTTATCAAATGTTTCATGCAACTCTTGCTCAAAGTTGTTTGATCAAGGTTACAACATTCAAGTCTTTAGCAAAGCTTTCAAAATGTTTTATGGTAGATAGGTGGAGAACATTTCAAAATGGGACACCTCAGTGACAAAAAATATGTCCGAAGCAATTCCCTGTTTTGAACAGTTGACTTGCCTTTGCATGTATTTGTGACGGGTGTCAAGGCTGGGGCACGATATGCTCACCTTTTCGCGAACACCTGGTATCATCACTAATCGATGGTGATTCATGCACACATGTTTACGATATACATGTTGTAGGAATCGTACAATCGACTCTGCTTTGAGCAGAGATATCGTAAAAATATAGAAAGGGTTTCGTGGCCTTTTTTGTATGCTAACCCATCGCTGATTTGCTAAAGAACTAAGACATTGATAGATTCAGATATCTTGTTTCAGACCACACGAAGTGAAAGGTCAGACATGTCTAAACTCGAGTTTCAACGAAGTAAGTTTAGCTTCCGTGGGGACCAGACCCTATTCTGTGTAATGCTGCTCAAATGGTTTGTTACATGAAGACATCTGTGTGTAAGTAATCACCTTGGAAACCTCACGGTGTCACCTGACATACCTTCGCTGGTCGCCGAGATAAAGATCAAGCATGAATCGCTACTTCAGACAATTTTGGAATGAACAGTGGAATTTGAGTTTGAAAGAATGGATTACTATATTTCAGCAAGGGTTTTTAAGGCTAATTTGTACATGTAAACATCGTGTACAGGGAGCCGACCTTTGTATGATTTTTGAACAAATATTATTTTCGATATTTGATGCCCATTATGTGACAGCAACTGCCAAAACCGCTGTCTAAACCGGACAAAACTGTCGAACCACTCATGTCAGGTTTAGACAGATTCCACTGAAACGAAACATTTGGGTAAGTAAGTGTTGTAACAACCGCATCCAAATCATATCGTTATTCATATGTCTAGAATACATAGCGCATGTTTGTCTTGGCTGCTGAAGCAAAGGAAAGGTAACATGATCTTTATACCGTTGCGCAGACAACTGACTCATCCGTCCGATCAACCTTATAGATCCTGCTTGTATCACCGGGTTTGTATTCGTTCACAATGCTTCGCTCTGAAATAACATACACACCACTCCAAACTCATCATGTATTTACTACCACAACTTTGTGATGACTGTCACTTCCGTTTTGGTTCACTGTTGCATTTTTAATGTGACAGAGATACATGTTTTCATACCTCTTGACGTTTGATTCAATGAACTGAGCATAAACATTGACAAGGACCATATAATCTCAAATTGAAAATTGATTAATGAATTATCCAACCAGTTTCTCTGTGGGCTTTGAATATTAAACGTAAGGACGTGGACGGGATACTGTAGCAGAGAATACCTATGCCTCTTTCATTGATCCGGGCATTCAACGGCTTTTGATATAATAATTGGCATCAGCAGCGCCAGTCGCCAGCTGTGTCTCGGGGTCGAGCCGATATGTTGTCTCACAGATGATTATCGGGATGAAAAATGAGGCAAATAAAATTGTTTCCTTTGGTGGCGTAATGCGATGCAGACTTATACGTGGTAATGGCGTCTTTGATCTGACATTTGAATGAAAACGTGTGGTCCCGGGTACCTTAGGTTTCCCTATGTTGTTATGAATTACAGTCTGTCAGCTATTTGAAGGCTAAAACCACAAGAGAAACTCAAGTGATGAATGACTATTGAAAATTTATTGGATAAAAGTTGTGTTTCAGTGACCTTAATCATTGAGTTTGTTTTGTTTTCTTTGTTTGTTGTTTTTACGTCACAAGCAACATCACTGGTGTAGTCTCTTTTTGCATGCACTTTAATTGGCTATAAGAGGATTAGGATTAACAGTCCAGTGCCTGCAAAATTATAGTCTGTTCAAGTAAGTGGAGTTCCCTCACTGACCACACTGACCACAGTTCACAATGATTAATGAACTCAGTCATTAAAAGTAATCAAATATGACATGTGTGCAAGTCATTCTACAATGGCAGGGGCACGTGTGCAATTTGTTCCCAATTCCTGGGGTGGCCTGAGTTTAGTGTTCAATGGATATAAGTTTAGAGTGAAGTCAAGAAGAAATCAAACTGTCCACTGGAGATGCTGTAAAAAAGGTTGTCCTGCAACCACAAACACTGCCAACAACCTGGTTGGAACATACAGGTACATCCACAACCATGTAGCGGACGATGCCATGATCAAGGTGGACTTCATCAATGGCCAAATCAAAACAATGCTACAATGAAGTGACCATTCTTCAGCTGGAGGCCGGTGGTTTCCTGAGACCAAAACGAAGAAAATATAGAAACCTGGAGGAAAGAATTGACATTCAAAAACATAGACTCTTAACGGGTTCCATCCCACCACTTGTTTATGGTGACGCTGTCTCTCATCTTGTAAATTTGTGTATTATGTCATGTGTATTAATTCATATATATTTAGTAAATTAAAATTTAAAATGAGTTATATGCAATAAAAACAAAATGTGATAAACTTTACTTCCCCCCCCCCCCCTTATTTGCCTGCATACTTGAATTTAAAATACAGACTATAGCCGTAATCCCCATTGTTCTAGGGATTTAGTACGGGCCACTGATTTTAATCCCGAAACAATACGTGCCGGCAAAAAGAGAACACCCCTTCTATTTCACGGCTGACTGTTGATATTCACGTCCTTGCCTATACAAACCAGTGGTTAATATTCTGAGCATCATCCAAGATCGTCGGGATATAAAAACACACATCAAGTCACCGCATCTGGCCACCAAATTTGGTAATCGTCTATTACGACAAACAATATAGTGTTGGGCTCTAGTAATGACAGAACATTGTTAATGTTTGGTAATCATTTCATACTCCAACATCCATGTGTATAGGTACAGATACCGTCGTAATGATAGTAAGAGTGCCTCCTCTATCTGTCTCTTTTTTAATGGGAAGCTGGGTCCGAATCAAAGGGCAGTCCTTGAAGTTTGATTGAAGACATACAAATCCCTCCATGTTTGTCTCTGAACTCAAATTAAATTTTGCTTATCCATCCAGGATTTAATTATCATCCTTGTTAGACAAAGATAATGATCACCCTAATTAGTCAGAGATAATACCTAGGTATGTACGTGGAGCATACATGTAGACCCCTCCATTTAACAACATAATCTAATCTAATAGTTAATACTGAAGAAAACGGTCTTCATAGACAATGCAGCCTAAACATAATCCTTAATGGTCAAGGTCGAGTTAGCAAACAGGCTCATTTGAACCCATTGGAAAACTCACATTTGAGAGTTCCGGAGTCCTTTGAAATGTTGGTATGAAAATTACCAGACGTATATACATATGTACAGAGTTGAAAGCTAGTCTTTTTCTTTCTCATGCTTGTAAGTGTTAGACTTTTGACATAGACCACAAGCCTGTGATTTTTGCCAGACGTTTTGTTCAGTCTGTGCTTCAAAACATGAAATTTGGT